AGAGTGGGAAACTTAACTTCAGCGGGGAGAAACCCAATGGAGGAAATAAAACCAAAAGGCAAGGTCTCCCACACCGCCAACAGAGGTCTCAGTCCAAAAGTGGCTGGCTCTGTTTCTCAGGGCTCAAGGTGAGGCAGTACATCATGGCGGGAAAGTGTGGCAGGGGGAACCAGCTCACATGATGACCAGGAAACAGAGAGGGGTTTCCACTTGCCATATACAAATATATACTCCAAAGCCACACCCCTAATCCTCACCTCCTCCAGCCACATCCTACCACTTCAGTTACCACTCAGGGGATTAATTCACTGATTGAGTTAAGACTCTTACAACCCAGTCATTTCTTCTCTGAACCTTCTTGGATTGTCTGACACATAAGCTTGAAACATCCAAACCATAACATAATCCCAGAGATTTGGGAGACTGAGGCAGAAGGATTGCAAGTTCAAGGCCAGCCTCACTGAGATTTAGTGAGCCCTGTCTCAAAATAAAAAGAGCAGGGGTAATGTACCCATGGGTTCAGTCCACAGGGACCCTGTCCCCCAAAAAAGGTAAATTTTTTTTTTTTWAAAGCTACCTTATCTCTTTGGTCAAATAGTGAAGGAATTTAAGAGTCATGTGCCTTTGATATGTGTTTTTCCTTTTATTTGTGATTAGACTTTGCTTTTTATTTCTTCAGAATGTCCATGTGAATCTTTGCAGTGTGAAGGCCCAGGCAGCAGATTATGCAACCACTACTGCCTTTAGTATAACTGTTGTTTAGAGGAGCGGTATGTGTTGCCTAAACATGAGTCTTTGATTACAGATAGGTTTTTATTTCTGCATAGACTATTCAAATGAAGATTATAATTATGTGTATTTTATATAATTTTAGGATTTAACTCATTTACAAATATTAAAGCTTAAGTAGTACATAATAAGCATTTGGTAAAAGTTTAATATTACTAGTATAATTAAATTATATGTAAAAATTGAGTCRTTTTACATAGACTACTGTAAACATTGAAGCTTTTGTTATATATCTGGGTTCCCAAAACCACCAGCATGAGCTTTGTGTTCTTTCAAAGGTGAATATTGCTTTGTAAGAGTATATTAATGGTCAGATGTGGTAGCACACATGCAATTCCAGTTACTTGGGTGGTTAAGGTAAGTTTGAGGCTAGCCTGGGCAACTTAGGGAGATGCTGTCTGAAAATCAAATTTATGAAGGGCTGGAGGACAGCTCATTGGTAGAACACTTGTCTAGCATGTGTGAGGCTCTGGGTTCAATCCTTCATACTACCAAAAGAAAAACATATATATATTTATATGTGTGTATATATTTTATTCATGAAGTAACTGGATTTAGGTATTAGGTGGCAGAAAGGAAATTGTGGTAGGGAGGGCCTTCTGAAGTCCTCCAGATTTAAAATCTCCAGCTTAGGGTCAATGAATGATTAGGAAAAAAACGTCCAGGGAGTAGTCAAAAAGTTTGAGAAAAGGTTTTTTTTTTTTGGATGGGGGACTGAATATATTTACAGACTGAGAGAGAAATATTACCTAGGTATGTCATAGTAATTATTTTCTTCTTATCAGGGTCACAGCATAAATGGGTCCTTGATTTTACATGTCCAGTTTCTGAGGATGTTATTCAATTTATAATTTGTAATTTGGGTAAGAATTCAATCGTAAAACTTTTAATATTTACAATTATATGTTTAATGGTTTTACTTATTAATGCAGAAAAGATATTTTGTAGATATATAAAATAAAGTATTAAACTGACTTTTTTATTAGTCTATATTAATTGTACAGAATAAGTCCCCTTGTTTAAGTTGACTTTTAAAGTAAAGTTGCCAAGAAATTTTTACATTAAAATTTTTTTTAATATTTATTTTTTAGAAGTAGTTGAAACAATACCTTTATTTTATTTTATTTATTTTTATGTGGTGCTGAGGATTGAACCCAGGGCCTCGCACGTGCTAGACAAGCGCTCTACCACTGAGCCACAACCCCAACCCCAACATTAAAATTTTTTGGAATGGAAACTTCTGAATTATTCACTGAGTTCATAATTATATCTATCCTTGCAGTTGTAATTTAGTTTTATAACAGTGACAGTTCAGTGCTTTTTATTTGTTGACCAATTCCCAGAAAAAGCTGAGTTATTTCCAAGTGTAACCAAGTTACCATAACTTGTAATCACAGCACAGGTTCTGATCCTTTTATAACTTCTTTTAATTATAAGAATAATAAACATATTCATATAATATTCAGGCATGTAGATTTGATATCAGGTGTAAGATCTCTTTTTGTCATTTAAACTTGCCATTTCTATATCTTCTCATTGTTCATTTCTTCAGACTGTGTGTGCCTATGACAACATTAATAAAGGTGTTAGGGAAACAGGGTTCTCTCAAACAGAATCATGTGTAGGGCAAGCTGGCACAGTAGCAGAGTATTACTCTGGTCAGGTTTAGTGAGGTAGTCATAGAGATATTTTTATAGGCAGTGAAAGTAGGCAGGCCACTATCTCTACCATGGAGATTTTTTTGATAGGATATTTAATTCATTTATTAAAATTAGCATCAATTTTTCCTGGGAAACTTATGAGATCTAATTTGAGCACAGTTTTTTTGGACACAAATTTACTTCATGATTACAAAACAAATACGGCAAGTTACCATTTTGAGGCAGGTTGCTTAACATCTTTTTAGATTCATTTCACTCATTTAACATTGAAGCTTATAAAAGAGAATAAAATCATGACATTTGCAGGTAAATGGATGGAGTTAGAGAAGATAATGCTAAGTGAAGTTAGCTAATCCCCTCAAAACAAATGCCTAATGTTTTCCCTGATATAAGGAGGCTGATTTGTACTGGGGTAGGGAGCGGGGAGCATGGGAGGAATGGAGGAACTCTAGATAGGGCAGAGGGGTGGGAGGGGAAGGGAAGGGGAATAGGGTTAGAAATGATGGCGGAATGTGATAGTCATTATTATCCAAAGTACATGTATAAAGACATGAATTGGTGTGAATATACTTTGTATACAACCAGAGATATGAAAAATGGTGCTCTATATRTGTAATAAGAATTGTAATGCATTCCGCTGTCATATATAAAAATATTTAATTTAACAAAATTGAGGCTTACCATTTGCCAGGTGTTATATTGTCTAGTTCTTATTTAAACTTTACGGTGTACCCTTTCCTCCTGACCTCTTCGAAAAAATAAATCAGGGAACTGGAGCTTTTAAAGTTAATAACTTGCCCTAGTTTGTGCAGTGAGTAAGTCATAGAACAAGGAGTTGAATGCAGATTTCTTTGTTGCAAAATATCAAGTGCTTAACTTCTAAGCCAGTAGAATGACCTGGAGAGCATATATTGCTGGATCCTAGAGTTTCTGATTTTGTAGGTCTACCTTAGAGTTCAAGATTTTTTTTTGTTTTGTTTTGATGTTGCTGGTCCTGGGACTGTACKTTGAGAACTACTGTTTACATCTGACTTGGTTCCTCTTAGGAGTTGAGGGAGAATTCACATGTTGTGTTTGTATTGATAATCATTAATATTGACTGTTTACTGTGTGCTAGTTACTATTCCAAGTTAATTCCTTTTTATCCTCACATCAATCTTAGGAAGTAATTAAATTGCAGGGAGAGGATGTGTTATGTGGGAGGGGTATGAAAATAAGAGGAGGAAATTGAGGTAGAGAAGTCCAGTTAAGATGTCTTATAGTGTGTTAGTTTAGAGGTGGTTACCCTCATTATTGCTTCTGTCAGCTGAGCTGGTTTCAAAGACCAGTAGTCTTGGAGCCATCTCTAGATTTCATGCAATGGGGAGGTTGAAAGAAAAGGGAACCTTTCTTTTTATCCATTGGTCTTTTGTGTCTTTGGAGGACGGTTATAGACTAGGCCTGGGAATCCTTTTCATGTCACTCTCCCAGTAATCTGAAGGGTAGATAATGTACTTTGTTATTCTGATGAATGATGTGGTTCTGGAAGTAACCCATATTTCAGGTGAGCAATGAGACTTTTGATATTCATTAGCACAGATATATATTTCCTATATAAGACCCATGGCATTGATGCCAGTATATTAAATTAGAAAGTATGTGGAATGGTGGCAGCCACCCTGCAACAAGGCATTCACTAATCTATGATATTAAACCTGCCATCACTGCTCCAGTAGCCTGGGAAAATTCCAAAAGCAAAAACAAAGGGAATAAAAAAAAAATCTGTAATTATGTCTGAAATCTGTATTTTGCTTAGGAAACCAGGTAGTTTCCCCATGGGTTTTAAAGAAAAAGTTTTAAAGAGTAATTAGTATTAAAGAGAAAGTATCTTAGAAAGCAGTTTTAGGAGAAAGTGTAAGGCGGTTTGAAAAGGTGAGATCATATTGGTATATTAATACTTTGTGTTTGGTTCTGTTAAAATTTTCTTGAGTGACTGATATATATGGGATACTTATAAAAGTAAGACATGTTTTCTTTCCTGTCAAGGAAAACTCATAGCAGACCTCACAGTTGAGTGTTTAGTTGATTTGTATAAGAGCATTCAAATTTGAAATTAGTATAGTTTGTTGCATATATTCTTATCTTAGAAGTAATTATATCATTTTAATGATACCAGTGCTTGAATCCTGGGGCAAAGTTTTGTTTTCAATGGGACAGCAATTTTGCCATAGAATTAGAGCTAGATCCCAAGCCTCCTCACTTTCAGCTTGGAGTTCCCTTTGCTTTGAGATGGCTTGAATTATTAATTGAAGAGATTTATTTCCCAACCTTAAGCTGTGAACTTTCAAAGGGGGATAACAATTTACTCTGCTTTTTTGGATATTCATGTCTATATTTTATCCTTGTATGTTTTCTCTTTCTTTAGTATTTCAAATGCAGTARTACAAACTCTGGAACTAATCAAGAACAAAAAGGAAATGCAACCTAGATACTTGTGGTTAGGATATTGAATTTTGACATGTGGTCTGATGGAAAAAAAAATCACAGTGTATTTATTCTGGTTTGTTGTAGGTTAACGAAGCCCTTGTCATTTGCTGATTGTGTTGGGGATGAGCTGCCGTGGGGATGGGAAGCAGGGTTTGACCCTCAGATTGGTGTCTACTACATCGATCACATCAACAGTAAGTTTTTCTTTTTGCTGAAAGCAAACATTTAGAAAAGAATCTCCAAAAATCTGTACTTACATAAAAGGGCATACATTTTACAAAGTGAATTTCCTTATTTTAAACCTCCATTTTCTTAATGATTGATACTTAACTGAAATGCCTGTTTTGGTATTTGGGGCATGTKTTTGGATTTGCATTATGGGGAGGGACAGAGAGGGAGAAAGAATGTGTGGTCTGGCTGGCTGTTTGCACTACAGGGAATGAGTTTTCTTCTCTAGTGCAGGTCTAGGACTCTGTGAAGATTAAAAAAAAAAAAAAAAAACTGTTGGGTGACTTGTTTACAACCTCTACATCTGATAGGATGATTCCTTCTCCACTAGTGCTTGCCCAAAGAAGAGTTGGGCATGGGCATATGCTGTCTGTAGATGCAGCTGGTGTGGACTAGGTGACCTGAGGGAGGGACTGGCACTCACCAGCAACTCTGGAAGACAAAATACATGTGGGAGAGACTGGAGCGTTTTTCTTCTTCCTGTTTCTTGATTTCTTTGTGGCAGGAAGGAAAAGTCTCATTTTAACAGCTTTTAGATCTGTCATGGAAAGGTAGGGCAGAGGACCACTGTGGCCATGAACACCTTTTTAAAACACATACTTGAAGTTTTTTTTTTTTCCTTTTTAAAAAATATTTTTGTGTGTGTGTGTGTGTGTGTTTACATGACTATTTCTTTATTCAGCCATTTGAAAATTCTTTCAGAGAAGCATACAATAATTACAGTGACCATTTTGCTTATTTCATTTAAGAATTATTATTTTGATAGATTTTGAGAACTATATAATGAATTTTTTCTTATTTCTCTTAGATCTACTCTTACATTAAAATTTTACAAATGTACCCTTTACTCATTAGGAATAATATCAGTGTAGAAAAGTATTTTATTTCATACTATTCATTAGTGATGGCTTATAGCAGCCCTGTATTAGGTATGTGATACATTTTTTGAGAGGCAATAAATAAATAAATAGATAGATAGATAAATACCCAAATGAATAGCAGTGATTTCTTACAAGTAGATGAAGTGGAGGGATGGAAAGGAGCAGGCACTTTGAGGTATCAATTCAGTTTTTYAAAGAGCACATAAAATTTATAATCTGTGGTAGAGAATATCTGTGTGGTACAGATTGGGAGTCAGTTTTCATGCATACATTAGCCCAACCTAAATACAAATAACAATTTTTACAAGTTATTGCTTCAGTCTTTTTTTAATGATTAAAAAAATATCTTTTTTGTTGAAATATTATCTCTTCCTGAAAATTTCTAAAAATTCCATGAAGAGGTCTTTATATGTATGCATATGCGTGGGTGTGGATGTTTGTGGTATTGGAGGATCAGATAAACCTTTCAATGGAATATCTGAAATGTGCAGCTATTTCACTCTTACAGTTACTTTAGGTGAATAAGATTTAGCTCTTTTTCTTTAAAGTATTTGGGAAACCAGAAGCCAGCCTAGCTTTACTTGTTCAAAGGAAATAAGTTCTCATGGTACCACAATAAGAAAAGGAATTCCCTTTGCTTCCCTCCTACCAACTGCCAACTCTTTGGTATCTAAATCCATCTTGCAGGGCTTGTTCTTCTTTCTCAGTGAAAGAGGTATTTGAGATCCTCCACCCCCACCCTGTGGATGACCTCTTAATCACTTTTATATCCCATCCTTCTCTCCTGTGTTATATCTTTCCCAGTTATTTTCTGGTTTTAACTCCCCTCCGCCCACCCTTTCTAGTGATTCTTCTGTCTTAAATATTGGAAACTGTCAAAATGGAACTAAACCAAACTACAAAAGAAAAAAAAGTAACAGTAAATTTCTCCCTACCCACTCAAGATCATCCTGCAGCCTAAATCCCTTACTAGCTATGGTAAAAGCCATGATCTGCTTGAACTTCATGTTCTCCATTGTTCTACATCTCACAGAAATCATTCTTGCTGGAGGTCATCTGAGACCATACAGATGATCAAAGCTAGCCAAAACTGTAGTCTCGTCTTTCTTGTAACTGTGGGTTATTCCTTGGGTTTCATGGCATTTCCTTTTCACTACCTGCCTGCCGCAGTCCAAGTTTCTCTTACGTATCCCCTCTTGTTTCTGCTATCAGGACTTCTGTAGAGCCTGCAGTTTGCACCTTGCAGATTTTCTTGGGTGATAATTTTAGTTACTTCCTTCAGGATGTCAGTTGCCAAATTTGTCCCTTAACTTTCAGATGCATGTATTTGATTTCTTACTATAGGATTCCTCCCCGTCTGCCCCTTGGGCCCTTTCCATTTTAATCTCCTGTCCTACACCAGCACTGGAGGATCCTCCAGCAGTATCATTTGCTTCCCTGGCTTTCGGCCTTTCTGTATGTCTGTTGGTCTAGCCCCTGACCTCTCTTCCCAACAACACCCTAGGTCTCCCCTTTGGACCAATTGCTTCATCCTTCCAGGCTTGGTCTATTCAGGTGCCGCTGCTTCTCAAAGGTTTCTGCAACACATACCTGGACCTCATAGGTCTTCCACTCCCATCTAGATTTGTTGGCCAGCCTGGGTATTTTTGTAATACCAGGTATGTAGGATTTTTTTAAAAAAAACTTCATCACATTGCATTTAAAGTTGTTTATATGTTTTTCTTACTAAATTGTGAGCTTCTTGAGGGCAGTGATTGCAACTTTTATTTCTTTATCCTACTATAATTGATTAACTCTTAAATGTTAAAAGAAAGGAAGAACTTATTACCTAGCTCACAAAATAAAAGCTCATTTTTAAAAAAGGAATTAAAGTATATTTCAAATGTAAGTTGTACTTCAGAAAGCACTATTCTGAATATATAAAAACTTGATTATCAGAATATAAATTTTTAAGCCTACCATTTTTCTTTAGTATGGTAATTGTAACCTAGTGGCCTGATGGATTTATTGTGCCCTAAAGTATCCAAATTACCCACAGCAAGTAGTTTATTCACTGAAAAGGATCTGACCCATTATCTCATTAATYTTCAAGACATTTCTCTGAAATTTTAGAGAGCAAATGGTATTATCTTCTCATAACAGCTGGTCCACACATATGTTGTGTTTTGGCACTGTATAGTTTCAGCATTATTTTCTCTTTATTTAGATAAAAAATGAAATAAGGAGTGTTTGGTTGTTTTAATACTATTTCTCTGAAACACTCTTAAATATTTAGAAGAAAAATTTGACCTTGACAGTGATAGTTATTTCAGGCCTTTTGTGTTTTATTTTAGCATTTACCTTTTAGTGGGTGTGTGATGGGGATATAGACATTGATGGGAGTGCTTGCATCTATCTAGATGTTAGTTGTGAGGTACTATATGTAAGTTTCTGATATTATTAATACAATCAAAAGAAAATCACCTTTTGGTGGAATCAAAGTTGTATCATAATTTTTTTCTTTCTTTTAGTTACCTAGGTGTTGTTGTTTGCATACATGAAATTGCACAGATGTTGTGTGTTTTCAGTGAACTTTGACAAATACATATTTTTTTGTATCCTCCATTCCAATCAAGATATGGAATTCCATCACCTCAGTAAGTTCTATCCTGACCCTGACTAGGCAGCTCCTCCCTAGTGTTTCAAACATTGTTCAGATTGTAGTTTTGCTTATTCTAGAATTCAGAACTTCCTTAGATTTTAGGAATAGATTCTTTCRCTCAGTGTGTTTTTAAAGACTGTACTACTGGGGCTGGGGTTGTGGCTCAGTGGTAGATCACTTGCCTAGCACGTGTAAGGCACTGGGTTCGATTCTCGGCACTGCGTATAAATAAATAAATAAAATAAAGGTCCATTGGCAACTAAAATGTATACATAAAAAGACTGTACTACTGATTCAAACAGTAGCATGGAAGAAGAGAATTAGTGTATTTGACAATGAACCCACATCCAGAACACATAAAGAACTCCTGAAAATTAGTGTTAAAAAGATAACCCAATTTAAAAATAAACAACAAACTTACATACTTCTCAAACAAAGATGTAGCAATGGACTTAGTTTCATTTATGATATTGTTTACACTGTAGAATATTTCCTTTTTATTGCTGAATAGTATTCTACCTACCTGAGCAAATCAGTTTTAAAAATCTATTTTGCAATTTTATTTTTTTCCAAGTTTTAGCTATTATGAAAAAGGCTGCTATGCACATTTGAATATCTTTTTTAAAAAATTGTGGTAAAAAATTCAGAAGTTTATTATGTTTTTGTTTTCTTTTTTTGGTGGTGTTGRGGATCAAACTCAGGGCCTTGCAGATCTCCAATTCATCAACCATTTAGAAGTATATAGTATATTACTGTTAATTCTATGCACATTACTGTGCAGCAGATCTCTAAAAGTTATTTAGCTTGCAAAACTAAAACTCTATACCCATGGGACCAAAGTTCCCTTTCCTTTCCTCCTGCTCCTGGCAATCAACATTCTAATTTCTGATTTAACTGACGTTTGACTAGGTTAGGTGTCTTGTCTGTTTTTTTGAAGTAAGCATTTGTTTTTAAGTTTTATTCATGTAATAGCATAAGACAGGATTTCCTTTTTTAAGGYTCAATGACCTTTTTAAGGCTCTCTAGTAGTGTGTCCTGTAATTTCTTTACCCATTCATCTGGTAATGGGCATTTCAGTTGCTTACAACTCTTGGCTGTCATGAATAGTGCTTCAATGAACAGGGGTGTGCAAATACCTCTTTGAAATCCTAGCTGTAAATGTTTGGATAAATACCCTGAAGAGAGATGTCAGGATCATAGTTCTGTCTTTAATTGAGAGACCTTTACTGGTTTTCCTACTGGCTATATCATTTTTACACTTCCACCAAGAGGGCAAATGGTAACATTTTCTCAACATCCTCAAAAGAATTTGTTATTTTTTACTTCCATTTCCCTGATGATTAGTGATGTTAAACATTTTTTTTCAATTTGTTAATGAGCCATTTGTATATATTCTCTGGGAAAATGTCTCGTCAAGCCCTTTGCCCATTTTTAAATTGGGTTT